CAGGCACGCAGGCACGCAGGCACGCAGGCACGCCCGCGCGCCCGCACGCCCGCGCCCGCACGCCCGCACGCCCGCACGCCCCGCCACGCCCCCGCCGCCCCGCCCGCCCCGCCCGCCCGCCCGCCCGCCCGCTGCCGCCCCGCCCGCCCTCCGCCGCGCCGCCTCGCGCACCCGCCCGCCCGCCGCAGCCCACGCGCACCCCGCGCGCACAAACAAACAACAAACAAACAAACAAACAAACAAACAAGCAAGCAAGCAAGCAAGCAAGCAAGCAAGCAAGCAAGCAAGCAAGCAAGCAAGCAAGCAAGCAAGCAAGCAAGCAAACAAACAAACAAACAATCAAACAAATAAACAATCAAACAATCAATCAAACAATCAAACAAAGAAACCAGCAAACAATCAAACAAACAAATAATCAAGCAATCAAACAATCAAACAATCAAACAAACAAACAATCAAGCAACCACGCAATCAAACAATCAATCAATCGAACAATCGAACAATCAAACAATCAAACAACCGAACGATCAAACAATCAAACGATCAAACAATCAAACAAAACACAATAAAACAATCAAACAATCAAACAATCAATCAAAGAAACAAAAAAACAAACAAAGACACACCCACACACACTCACACGCACACGCACACGCACACACACACACGCACACACACGCAACAGAAACACACCCAACAGACACACACACACACACGCACAACACAGCGCAACGCGGCGCAGCACTGCGCAACACAATGCAACACCACACTGCGCCGCACCGCGCCGCGCCAAACCGCACCACACCGCACCACACCACACCAACCACACACCGCAGCGCAACGCAACACAGATTGCATGCGCTTCCAAAGGCAAGTCCACATTGCATTTGCATTCGTGTTCTTGCAATCGCGAAGCTGCGTGTGCCCTGTTTTCCGCATACTAACATCCCCCTTGGTACTGACCCTATGGAATGGGGAGGGGTTGGGCCCATGCATTTTATGGGATACCACCCCACCTTAAGGCTTCGGACCCCGCCTCAAATTCTGACACTCAGTTGCAGTGCACGAGCAAAATCCCTTGCTCAGCTCGGTTCCGTCGAGGCATTTCTGGAGGGTGGGGGTCCGAAGCCTCAAGTGCGGAGCACTTAAGGTCTGAGCACATTGTCCTTAAGATGCCCTCAGGTACTCAAGGTCTAGAATGGGAAACTCCTGTGGGCTTAACGGCTAGGGGTCTAGAATCGTCCCATGAGCATTTTAGACCCTGCTAGCGAAGCCAATGACCCTATACCATCAGAACCCACCAGAGATCAGACAGATGCTTGCCGTAAAAGAGTGCATAGAGCTAAGCAGCTTCGGCCAGCCCATTTGAGAAACAATTGCAACTCAACAGTTTGCGCGAATGCGCTTACATTCAAAATCACCCTCGTGTGGAAGTGCTAGGTTTTTCCACTAAACAGAAAGCAGGCCTATGTCTTGGCGCCAGCCCAGCCAAGTCAGGAAGCCGCATATCAAGACGGTAGGCAAAAGGCGCTCGCTTTCGGTTCCAAGCTTGGGTATGCCTGTCTTTTGCCGGTCTCAGGCCGGGGACCGTGGGTGTGTGTAGGCCCGGGCGAATGGGCCTTAAGGATCTCTTGGACATAACGCGCAACATATATAAATATATATTTGCACATGACTCATGACCATGTGTATATATATATATATATTATAGAGGCCAGCCCCTTGGTTTTGTTTTGGAGGATCCCAATTTTGGCGGGGTATACCTTTTTTCTGGAGAATCTGTTTTTGGGGTTGATTGGAAGGGAAATATGAGGGAACGAATTGATCAATCCGGAGAAGTTTGCTTGCTTTAGACAATTTGAATTATTATTGCCTTTGAACTTCAAAGTAAGTGCGCACAGCACATGAAAGCATTTGGGATCAAGATTGAAAATCAAACGTGAGTCAACTTGTCGAAACGCTTGAAAGAAGAGCCAAGCATTTTTGCGGTTTAGGTTCCACATTGTCAGGACTCCAGGTTTGGTGCGAGCTGGGCACCAAATAGTAAATGGGCGGAACCCTCGAGGCAAAAAGAAGGGGAAAAAGAAGGGAGTCAGCGCGCTGTGTTCCCAGCGTTCGTTCTGCGCGTTGTTTGTCTTCGGTGAGGGGTCCTGCGAAGTACTTCGGCAAAATGGGAAGCAGGTTCTTTACCTGCATATTTTTGGAAGTTCTACAGAGGGTTCTGCGAAGTGCTTCGGCGAGGCAGGGGTTCTGAAGCACCGGTTGCATTTTCTAAGTTATCCTGCGAACTTAGACTTAGTTTGGTGATGCTTGGCAGGGTTTCCAGAGATGGTGCCCGTTCAAGTTTTCTGCCTACTCCACTGCTCAAGGCCTCAAGGCAGGGGCGCGCCTTGAGGTGACACGGGTGCGAACGAAAATTCCTTCCAACTAAGTTGGGTGGGAGCCTGCAAGTGCTTGGCAATTTTCTTTGATGGCGCATGAGCAACGGACCAAACCAAAT